TGAGGGTTTTTTTTTTTTTATAACACCTTTATTGAGAATTTATATATCTTAAAAGCAGCCATCAACACTAACTAGAAGATTTTAATCAGCCCTAAAAGAAATCCAGTACCCATAGCAGTCACTCTCCACCCCCACGCCCAGCCTCCCCAGCTCCTGACATACACTAATCTGCTCTGGGTCTGTAGATTTGCCTATTGGGACATTTTGTGTAAATTGAATCCTACAGAATGTGGTCTTCTGAGCCTGGCTGCTTTCACTTAATGTTTTGGAGGTTTATCCATCTTGTAGGATGTATCAGAACTTCATTCCTTTTTATGACTGAGTAACATTCCATTGTATGGCTAGCTCGCATTTTGTCCATTCATCAGTTGAGCATTTGGGTTTCCACTTGGGCTGTGACAAATGCTGTGAACATTCGTATAGAAGTGTTTTTTGTAAAACGTAAACTTTTAATTTTCTTGAGTGTATATATATCTAGGACTGGAACTGCTGGATCATATGGTGGTTTCTGAGCAACGGCCAAACTGTTTGCTAAATCATTGTACAGTTTTATAATCCTACCAGCAACGTGTGAGAGTTCAAGTTTTCCACATGCTGCCAACACTTGTTATTGTCTGTCTTTTTCATAATAGTTATCCTAGTGGGTGTAAAGTGGCACCTCACTGTGGCTTGGAAATGTATTTCTCTGATAGTTTAAGTTGAGCTTCCTTTCCTGTGTCTGTTGGCCACCTGTGTATCATCTTGTCTATAGAAATGTCTGTTCATATCCTTTGCCCAGTTTTTTTAACTTTTTTTTTTTTCTTTTTTGAGAGAGAGACAGAGTACGAGCAGGGGAGGGGCAGAGAGAGAGAGGGAGACACAGAATCCAAAGCAGGTTCTAGGCTCCAAGGTGTTAGCACAGTGCCTGACATGGGACTCGAGCTCATGAACTGTGAGATCATGACCTGAGCCGAAGCCAGACTGTTAACTGACTGAGCCCCCCAGTGTCCCTGCCCAGTTTTTCATGGGGTTGTCTCCTTATTTTTGAGTTATAAGTGTTCTTTATATATCCTGGGTACCATTCCTTGGTCACACAGTTTTCTCCCATTAGGTGGGTTGTCTTTTCACTATCTTGACAGTGTCTTTTGAAGCAAAAGTGTTTTTTGTTTGTTTGTTTTTTTAATTTATTTTTGAGACAGAGACAGAGCATGAACGGGGGAGGGTCAGAGAGAGAGGGAGAAGAATCCGAAACAGGCTCCAGGCTCTGAGCTGTCAGCACAGAACCTGACGTGGGGCTTGAACTCAAGGACTGTGAGATCATGACGTGAGCCAAAGTCAGACACTTAATCGACTGAGCCACCCAGGCGCCCCAAGAAGCAAAAGTTTTTAATTTTGAAGTTCAATTTATCTCTTTTCTTTTGTTGCTGATGCTTTTGGTATTCTAGCTGAGCCACTGCAGCCTGGTGCAGACAGATGGCGGTGGCACTGAAATGCTGTCCCAACCTGCCACTCTTAGTCTGTCCTTGGAGCTCTGCTTTCTCCAGCCTTCTGCTAGCTACATTTGTCTTCTCTCTCTCCGTTCCAGCTTTTTATGCTTCTCTGCCCAGGAGCAGCAGCCTTCATGTGGTACCTTAGTTTCCCTGTCCTTCCATTTCACAGGGTTCACAGAAACAACTAGTATCTTTCCTAATTCCAGATTCCTGAGAGAAACCTCTTTGTCCGGCACGGCTCCTGTATCTATCCCAGGTCAATCAACCTACCTACATCCAGGATTGGATGGAATTACAGAGAGGGTCATGCTGGCCTTTTGTGGCCAGAGGGGACAGTTCTCAGAAGGATTAGTGGGCTTGGGCCAGGCAGACACTCCAAAGCCAGTCCCCTGTGGTGAGTTGGCTCCAAAGTCCCTCTGGAAGGTTGGCCTGCTGGGCTTCTAAATAGTACAACTCCCCCCCTCTCCCTCCCCCAGAGTGATAACCAGCTAGGAGACAGTAGAGACTTGGCAGGAGACAAAACTTCATGTTTATAATGGGTAAAGCCCATTTGGAAAAAGTGTCACGGAAGTGTTGGCAAGTGGCTTCCTGATGCTGAACCTTAATCAGGCAGGTCTGCCTACCACCTGAGATGATGCTGGCACACCACTCTTCTCCTCGCAAGGGGCTTCCTTCTCTAAAACATAAAGCTGGTAGGAGTAGAGCCCAGTGTTGGCTTCCGTCTGGGCAGCTGGGTCTCAGGAGCAAAGCAGGAGGAAGGGGCTCCGTCCTGCTTGTCTCCTAGACTCCCCTATCAGATATGTCCTTTCACAGCTTGGGGAAGGGAGCACTACTGTGAGGGAGGACTCGTGTGTTCACTGAGCTCCCTTGCAAGGAGGGAAGCCTCACACGTGCAGAGGCTGCGTGTCCTCCTCAACACGTGGCGTGTGGGGGGTGCAGTTGTCCAGAGCACTCTCCCTGGGAGGAGGAGAATGAGCTTGCCCAGACGGTCCTGGTGGGGAATGAGGTTTAGCTCTGGGAGAGCCTGCAGTGGGAGTCCGGGGACGTTGTTGGAGAGGGAAGTTGGATGGGGAGTTTGGATATTAGTTTTAAAGCAGGGTAGTCACGGAGGGCTTCCATATGGAGTCACCCCATTGTTAAAGCTCTTCTGGGAGCTTGGAGAAGAGATAATGCCATACACACTCAGAACGTGGATTCTTTTCTGAGGTCTTTCCCCTTTTTAGTGAGTTTACAAATTCGTGAAACCGTAACCCAAACTTTTTCTGACACTACAGTGGCCACGTCACTTCAAACCTGCAGTCGTGCATTTGGGACAGCCTAAGAATTCTGCAGCCCCAGACTCTGCTGTTTGTTTACTGGGGGCACCTAGGGCCTTGCTGTGGGCCCTTGCTGTGTGTGGTGAAACCAAGCTCTGTTCACTCAGGTCGTGTACGAACGGTGTGAAAAGCTGCGGCCCACTCTGTTCCGGCTGGCGAGTGACACCACAGATGACGATGACGCACTCGGTAATGCGGTTCTGTTTCTCTAGGCACAGACGGTACACCAGAGGCAGAACAGACGTGCTCCTTACTGCGGGGCTGCGGTGGTGCCAGAAACAAGACAAGATGGACTTTAGGTTTTATGGAAGTTGGGCTTTGGAAGGGCATGTCCTGTGTTGGCTTCGAAGCGATTCCCAGGAAAGCCTAGGCTTGAGCAAGCAACCGTCAGCAGGTTTGAAAGAAGAGGTGGAAACGTGCCCTGTAGGTGGGGCAAGAGGGCGATGCTAGAAGGAAGGCTCAGGTCCACAGAAGTCTGGGAAACAGCAGCATCTTGAAGGTTTCACCAACCTGAGTTGGTGGGCTGGGTAGCCAACCTAAATGAGGCAGGCTGGTGAGGAGCAGAAGGGATAATGGTAGAGACGGTGGAGAATTTCAGTACCTGTGCAAAGGTATTAAAACATCTTACACTTTTTATTATGGAAAATTGCAGAATATGAAAGGGAAATAGTAGGATAAGTCCTATGTGCTTTTCACCTATTGTTAACAATTAACAGCTCATGGCCCATCTTTTTTCATCTTGTTCATGTGTACTGCTCTCTCCCTGCCCCAAACCTATTCTCATTGAAGCAAATTCCAAACATTTTAAGGTGATCAACTATTCAGTGTTCGGATTTCCCTGGGCATTTCTTTCTCTAGCATCTCTTGCTAACTTCCCCCGCATTTCTTGTTCAAATTTTTGTTTGTGTGTTTAGTTTTGGGGAGGGGCAGAGAGAGAGGGAGACAGAGAATCTGCAGCAGGCTCCCCACTGTCAGTGCAAAACCTGACATGGGGCTTGAACTCACTCACAAATTGTGAGATCATGACCTGAGCTGAAGTTGGACACCCAACTGACTGAGCCACTCAGGTGCCTCTTGTTTCTTCTAAATCAGACTTAGAAGGGCACCTGGGTGGTTCAGTGGGTTTGGGCGACCGACTTTACTCAGGTCATGATCTCACGGATCGTGAGTTGGAGCCCCACATCGGGCTCTGTGCTGACAGTTTGGAGCCTGCTTCGGATCTGTGTCTCCCTCTCTCTGCCTCTCCCCACTCGCGTTCTGTCTCTCTCCTTCAAAAGTAAATAAACATTAAAAAACATAAAAAGACAAATAAGTAAATCAGACTCAGAAAAACCATACTTTGTAGTTGGTGATATTTCTAGAGTCTTTTTTTTTAGAAATTACACTTTAAAAATTTCTTTTAATTAAAAAAAAATTTTTTTAACGTTTATTTTATTTTTGAGAGAGAGAAGGAGACAGAGTGTGAATGGTGGAGGGGCACACACACACAGGATCCAAAGCAGGCTCCAGGCTCCAAGCTGTCAGCACAGAGCCCGACACAGGGCTTAAACCCATGAACCATGAGATCATGACCTAAGCTGAAGTTGGATGCTTAACCAATTGAGCCACCCAGGCACCCCCCGCTTTGGT